CGATCAGCCCCCAGGCCAACTAATTCGGCAGTCTATTCAAAATTCTGATCGATTTTTACACCAGACGCCTTGATAATTGAGAGCCGCCCAAGCTCTTCAAAACGTCAGCTAAACAATTCCCTCGATCCGGCGAGCACTTCCCTTTCCACAGAGGTCATTGGACACGTCAGCCAACGCGCCCATTCCCCGCTGCCCAGCCTCCGTTGCGTGGAATCCTGGTGCTTGGGGAGCCAGGTCGTGCATGCGGCGCTCGTAGACAAGGTCGCCAGACCATGTCGGCCACCGTGCCCATTCTCCGCACCCGTTAACTGACCGCCTCGGACAGTGGCTGAGGCACGGGAATGGGAAGGGAGAGTGAGGTCGACGACTCAGCGCATTTTCTTCACTATAAACAATCTGACGCGCTTAAAGCTATCACGGTGAACTAAAAGTCGTGGCTTGGAAGGTTGCCAACTGACGGGATAACTTGGATTTCGCAGTCGGCCCAGTGCTGTGTGTGTTTGTGTGGAGTGGCCGGCTGGTGGTCTGAGAGTCAAGCTGCAGTGGCTCCTTCTCAATGTGGCCTTTATGGCACTCCCATTGCGTGGGATCCGAGCTGAGTGTGGCGTCGGCCGTGGCAGCCTCCACTCTCTGTTGTTGTTTTCAGTCAAAAACCTGGTTATTTGTTGTGTGGACCAGAGGGTGTGGAGTGGAATGCCAAGGTGCGGGCTCGACCGCACCATCCGCCTGTGGCCTCCCTCGTCTCCGGTCTTCCTGAGTCTGTCTTGACACCGGGTCCAGGTGGGGAAGGAGGAGAGAGTGTGGTGGACGCATCGCAAGTCTACTCTCACTATAAATCCTGCGCACGTCACCGTCCCTGCTGTGGAACACACAGTGGACATCGTCGGCAGCGACGGCCGAACTACTGATGCTGGCTAACATCAGCATATGGTTTAGCCGTGAATTATGAATGGCCCCAGTGTATGTGATTGAAATGTCTGTGCGGTGACCGACACAAAATGGGTCAAACACATTTGCTATCCTAATAGCCACGATGTATTTAAAGGGGACCTACAAGGCCGATGCGTGACTGGAGGGTTAAATGGGGATCTGGTCGGCATTATTGGGAATGCGCACCCATAACAAATGCCAGCATTTAGGATGCGGTGACAGGCTCACTGTGATCCCGCGGCGCCCCCATTTTTTCTGTGGTTGTATAAAATCCTGGTCAGTGTACGTTGTGGATCAGGGGATGTGGTGGTACGCCTAGGCACAGGATTCCGCCATGGCAGCCATCTGAGCCCGATCCCGACTCCTGGTCTTCCTGACTGTGCCTTGTCAATGGGCCCAGGTGGGGGAGGAGGATTTTGTTAGATGCAGCGCAAGTCCACCATTACCATAAACTAACTCGCATCCTACTCACCATCCCTACGTCCACAGCGGACGTCACCAGAAACGACTGTCAAACTGCTAATAACTTCATGCTTTCTCACCTGCGCATGCCTGGAATGGTCGCGCGCGGCGATTCCAGACTGAGTGTTATAACCTGCAAAAGTTATGATCGACTTTAGAGATCTGTTGTGACCAAGCGGTGAGAGTAGTTGCTTTGAGCGCTACAACCACCAGGTCGAATCTCAAGTCGTAAGATGACAGAAAACAACACAATGAGAGGTTTTATGTAGTCTGTGAGCTACAATTATCAAGTCAAAGCCCAGAGTGGAAGGAGGAGACGGAAGGCACCAGAATGAGGGGTTTATTGTGCACAGAAACCGGAGTTGTCCTCTCAGGCGGCAGTGGCCACTGGTGAAGCCAGGGCTAGTGTTGACTGCGTCCAGTCAGGCCTGAAAGTTCCTGAGATAGTGGTGGCGGCCGCTTTTGTGGGCTCGTGGGCCAAGCTCAAGTGATGTCCAGTCAGTGTGGTGTCCCAGTGGCTTAGGTTGTGCTTGCAGGGGGGAGGTGCATTCAAGTCGCCTCATGGGCAGCTGCGGCTGTGCGGACGCAGGTATGCCCGAGCTGTCGGTCATGTGACTTCACGTCAGCGCGTCAGGAACAGCTCACTGCAAAGGGTGCATGACCTTGAGGCGGCGAGGTCTTAAACAATGACACCAGGCCGGTCATGCTGGCTGCCCACTACAGATCCGGCCTGTAATCTCCTCGGGGATTTTAATGGCGGTGCCTGAGTAAGGGAACTTTTCTGTTAGCTAAGAAAGGATTGCCGTCAACAGTGGCCATGGATTTGTAGCGGTCCTACTCCAAGTGCCTCTCGCGAGTACTTGCACGTGCGCACCAGCGGCAATCTGGTTCTCGTCCAATCACTGCCGTTCAAACCGGCCAATCATCTTCAAGGCTGACTCGGACATGATCTCGGTCAAGGCGTTGGTGTGATGCATCTCCCAATGTTGCTCGGGTTGCCGCTCTCGCGGCGCCGGGCATGTTCTCGCGTCCGGCTACCAACTTATACCAGCCGATTCTCAAATCTTTCTGTGCAGAATACAATCGGAAGGGAAAAGGCTCGACGAAAAAAACGTGAAAACTCGTGAATTCTCAAGTTGGTGACACCAACCCCTCCACAGAGGAAATGAACAGAGGAGAAAGTGAGATGGTCAGGCTAGACCGGTTGGCGCGACAGGGCACACACTGACAGACAGGCAACTGACTGTGAGAGGGGTGAGGACATAATTACGGTAGAATTTGGGGCGGGGGGAGGGAGGGAGAGTTGTTGCGTCTCCCTGTGTTGGAGGAGTGTGGTGATGGCGATTCAATGCGACTGCAGACGGTGGATTTAGCGGTCGCCGATGCGGCCTGGGAGCAGAAGTCAATGTGCCGATATTGGAGGTACTGAGAGCTTCAGCTGTAGTTCGCCGTGTCTGGGGCAGAGGGCGATCAGACGGTGAGATCGTACATGACCCAGCATGAACTGGAGTTAGGTCGTTGGCGGACGTCAGTGAGCTGGGCTCACAGACCTTCGTACTGGGCGTACAGATTGACATGGCGGCTGACGCTGGCCAGGCTTTGATTCATTATCGTGCTTGTTTTGTGTTAGCCGTGAAAACCACTTTAGTTATGTCCCAACTCAAGCAATGGTCGCACTTAAGGGCATGCCCAAACACAAGTGGCAAGGGGTAACGTCCGCCGACAGCTAATTTATGTTCGTCTATGCGAGTCCCAAGTCGTAGGCCTGCATGACCTACGTAAGCGCAGGAACAGTCAGCACGGTGAATACGGTAGATGACATTCGTTTGATGCTTTTTGTGCTTGTGGTCTTTTACTTGGGCCGGGAGGACACCGACTTGTGGACAATGGAGATGCCGAACTGGTTTGATTGTCGGGGGTTGCTTAGGTAATGCTTTGCTTGTAGGGTAAGGAGTAGAATTTCCGCAGATCTCGTTCTTCAGTGGGGTCGAAGCTTTGTAGATGTCTCTGAGGCCCGAGACAGTTCTTCACAAAGCTGACCGGGCATCCGTTAAGTAGGAGTAAGCGATATAAGAAAGTGAGTTCTTTCTTAAGTAGATAATCGCTGATGTACTTACGAAAGGCTCAGTGGAAAGGTTTCGGACGCAACTTCTTTTACCGACCGCAATATGGTTGCTTTCATAATTAAGGATGAGGTCAGCATTAGAGCCTTTTTGGTAGACGCTCCTTGCGAGGCCTCCTGTTGCCTCCTCACGTACAAACTGAAAAACACTACTCAGATTCTGATGTGATTGCAGGTCTTTGTGATAATAAATATATCATATACGTATCGCAGCCACATTTCTGGCTTAAAAGTTCGCATAACCTCCTTTTCTAGTTATTGTTGTAATACCAATTCCGCTAGTAGACCAGATATTGGCGAGTCCATTGGTGTACGCTCAACCCGTTGATAAAGCTTTCCATCGAAGTGACAGTTGTTCTTGAGACAGCGTCTGAGCATTTCTGAAACATAATTAGATGTCGATTGGATTGTCTTCGAGGCGTCGAGTAAGGTCCTCAGTCGTCAGGTCATGTGGTATGGAGGAAAACAGGGCAACCACCAGGACTTACTTTAAGGCCTCGGATCTTCTGGGGGAATGTCTGAGAATTTGTGACGCTATATTTTGATCCATCAGTGAGGTGCTCGAGGTGTCTGTATAACCGTTTAGCGAGATTGTAGGTGAGTGATCCAATAAGCGGCACCATGATCTTCAATGGCACACCCGCTTCGTCCACCTCTGGGAGAGCATATGCGTGTGTAAGACAGGTACCACTGAGGGTTACAAATCTGGAGTCATCGGGGGTTATGATCTTCAATCTAGTGCGCTGGGCCTGCTTTTTAGCTGGGTCCTCAGCGAGTGGTATGTAGGCTTCGCCGTCGTCGAAAACTTTGCTATGCATGCAAAACAGAAGGTTGGCTGTAGACAGGACGTCTACCGAGAACGGGAGACAACACAAGTTCAGACAGCATTACAACCCGGGCGAAATGTCGGTAAACGCTGGTTAGCCTTTAAATCCCTCGTGCATCTAACTAGGGCCTTCTGGACCGAGAACCGAAACATCCACTGATGAGTTGTGGGCAAATTTGGATTCCGGATTGGTTTTGCTAGGCAAACTTCATGTGTAGCACGATATACCATACCTAAAAGCCCAGACACGCGTGTTTCGCCGATATCCTGCCGCTTCGTGACACAGTTGCGAAGGGTTCGGCTCATCAGTGGGTCCCCCCTGCGTTCGCCTTGGCAAAATCCCTCCAGTCTTCTTTTGTTGCAAAATCGGGCTCCAGTCCCGGCTCCCTTAGGTCGTACAACTTCCTAACCAACTCAGTGTCGTTACCGCTAGGACACAGAGGACAACCACCGGCAACTCACTCCATTCACTCATTTTTATCCACTATGGTCGCACTTTCTAATCACGCATCGGCCTGACAGGACCCCTGTAGATACATAGTGGCTATTAGGATAGCGAGTGTGACCTAAGCACCACAACAATTGCGGCCCAGTCCCGTTTTGGAAGAGAAGGGAAAAGACACCAGTAAGAAGACGTGTATCTTGTGCATCAGCTCAACGATGACCGAGGTCCTCGACGCACGGGCCTTGCTTACTCTCATGGTTAAGATGGAGGCGCACGGTTTCGCTAAACACTCACCCGTCCCAACTCCAGCTTTTGAAGAATCTCCGCTCTCGAACTTTAAGGCAAGGACAACGAAACTCGCCATGACTTTGCCTCTCTTCAACAGAAGGCTGCCTCCCCTCTACACTGGAGTTCCACCGGGTGTGTCCAGCCTTTACTATGCCAAATTTTGTGCCAGATTTCAGCGCCGTATTTCTCCCCTTTCGTTCGTCACCAAGAAGGACCGGAGTGTGAAGGTGACCGGCCCGTAGGTACAGTTACTTCAGCTGCCCTCTGAGTCGCTCGAACATTGTCCTACTAACTCAGTCCGCCTGACCTCATTAGGGAAGCCTCTTCATGTCGACCCATCGTACCTCAACAAACCAGTTCCAGGAATCCCCGTCGACACTCATCACGTTAGCCTTTCCTGTCGTACTGAAATCCACATGAGTGCATGAGCCTATTGGCTGAGGGAATAACCACCACTCATAAGCAAGGGTATGCTTTATGCCCGGGGTCACTTTCTCCGGGGAGTATTTGTGTTAAGCAAAAGAGCTTCATATCTAAGAACTTTGTGGTATCCCAAAATCTGATCCTCTATATTGTCGCCAATTAAAAGGTGAAGCCATTTATACCATCTAATATAAAAACTAAATGAATTTAATGCCCCTTTACAGGCATTGTCAAAATGGTACTGTATTGTCGTATTTCATACTCCGATGACTACCTTAAATAATTCTGATCAACCTCACGCGACAGCCACTGAGAGGTCTCTGGCACGTACGAATAAGTATCGTCAGTTCTTTTCTTTTAGCACAATCGCTCCCTAGAGAAAGTAGCCCCGGCCATAAATCATACCCTTTCCAAAGCTCGTAATGGGCCGCCAAGACGGCGCAAATCATTTCTCAGAGTCCTGTCGCTTCAACGCCACGTGCTTCCACTGAACGTAATGACTTTTTTCGCAATGAATCAAAAAGGACGTCCGAAAAGTAGGACTTTTAAGATGCAGTGGTCTGTGGAATCAAATGACCTATCAGGCGTATTTCGGAGGTTGTATCACTTATACCTGCAAGCGCCCTGGAAGTGAGACCTTCTCAGGCAGAATGGGTCTCTAACTTAAATTATCTACGAGCAGGTGTGCATGCGTGGACGAAATTCGAGCTCTCCTCATGTCCTGTGATAATAATTACCACGGCCACGTCTGCGCACTCCCATGCCTTTCTCCAGTAGAAGGCGTTAATTTGAATGATGAACTTTCACCTTAGCGGCCTTCGCCAAATGCAAACTGGATTTCTCGGTTCTTGTCAAGTAGGCGAAGGTAGGATTTATATAAAAACACTATGCTTAACCTAGCCCTTTCAGTCTGTTTGAAAATATGTGCATACCTGACCTTAAAGCACAGTGCTTACACGAAACTACGAGGGCTTATTCGACCACGCCCGAAATTTCTAGCCATGTGCATGTATTTTTTGACGCAGGCGCGAGATATCAGACTAAGAATTTGCGAAAGTGAGCTCCGAAGTTGTATAGGGATTTTTTTCTATGCGGCTTGCTCTCAACCGCCGAGTAATTTACAAGAAGACTGTAGAGAGTATTATCCTTTGAGAGGGCAGTTAAAGGTGCATCTATAATCATCGAACAAAGCACGGACAGTTAAGACGGGTCAAATTACAATTTGACGTAGATAAGTTGTTAGTGGCCTTCGAGGGAGTAATCGGAAGTGTTACGGAACTCACTCTCTCTCTCTCTCTCTCTCCCTGGAGCCCAACCAGTAACAGCACAGCGGTGGATGCGATAGGCAGAACAGCATTACCGACAAAGACAAGGGAGTCTGGAATGGCCATTTCTGGCTTATTAGCCGTCGACAGCCAGTCATACCCAACTCCGAAGTATGTAACACCATTGTATATTCCCGATCGCAACCGACAGGACAACGAGCCCGTGAAACAGTGATTAGGGGTGTTGGATTTCTAACCAACAGGTGGCAGGATCGAGTCCCAGGTGTTCCACGCTTCGGGCTTGGGTATGACTGGCTGACGTCGGCTAATAAACCAGACATGGTCCTTCCAGTCTCCCTTGTCTTTGTCGGTAATGCTGTTCTGCCTATCTCATGGAATATATGTATACATTATAGGCAAAGACGACTACTAGCCGCTATGCGACTGACTGTGAGGTTTCTAGTTTGATCCCCGAGGCAGCACGAGACGAGCGCGTTCTGTAACCCTAACGGCGAGCGGACGGGAATCTTCAGCATCTACGTCATGCTGAGGCAACTGCAACTGCGCTGAAGCGGTCACCTTAAGCGGATGAACGATGAGCGGCTACCCATGGGTTCTCACTGACAAAAGCACAGGTTCGGCGCTACAAGGATACCCTACAGATCAACCCGGCTAAATGGGAAGACCTCGCCCGGGACCGAGCGACCAGGTGGAGAACAGTGAAGACAGGCGCGGCCATCCACGAAGCCAACCGCGTCACCGCCGCCAAAACCAAACGTGAGGCTCGCAGATCCCAGCTGCGCCTACATCGCACTGCCAACGCTCGACCGCCCCCCGTCCTGCCCACGATGTCAGCGGACGTTCCGGGCACCAATCGGTCTTATTGGACAACTGCGAACCAACTGCAGCATCCGGACGACACCACCCGATGTCCCCGCGTCCACCTCTGCCTCGTCTCGCACTCCTGAATCCTCCTTCCATTGCATCAACATCCACTGCAGCGGCTCCTGTGCCCACCACCACTGCATACAATCCTGTCACACTGACAACCACCAAACTCACCCCTGTCAACACCAACGATGCGGACTCGGCCCATACACCGGCCTGGGCGATCACTTGCGAATCCGTTGCACAGAGACTGGCGAACCAGTGCCTGGAACACCCATGTACTCTCGCCGCATACGCTTCAACTGCCCTCGCTGCACTCGCAAATTCAAACACCGCATGGACCTATTAGGCCACATGCGCATTCACGAAATCCTGCGATAGACGACCGCCGGCTACACCACACCATCACATCCTCCCTCACCAGCATCTCATCGCACATCAACATCACCCACCACAAGCATCCAAATGCCACCTGCTGCACAAGTTGGAAGTGTGCATCTTGACTCCGTCTCCATGCGGCTTCTCAGCTGCATGTGTGACTCGAGTCTGAGACTATCACGGCGCGTTAAGCACCGTGGCTTGGAAGTTTGCTGACTGACGCCCCAACTCAGTCTACGCAGTCTGCCCAGTTGTGTGTGTCTGTGTGGAGCGACGGACTGATGGGCTGAGAGCCAGGCTGTCACGGCCCTTTCTCAAGTGATCTGTGACACACTCACGCTTTATGCGTAGTGCCTCTTAATCGACGACTGTCTGGTGACCAGGTAAATGCAGGGTCAATTGTCACCCTTCTAGGTCAAAAGGTCTGTAAGTGTCTGCCATACAAGGATCAGCAAACCATGGCCCTCGCAGCCTCGTATACGCTGGCTGGTTACCTGCCGGTAGATGCGCATACCCTCCCGCTGGGTATACAGGTTGTGAACATGGCTGCCCAGTCTCCGTCGTTCTTCTGACCCGTTTGTGGTGTTGCCGTTGATTAAAATCCTGGTCATTTGTTGGGTGAACGAGGGAATGGGGAACGAAACGCCTAGATGCGGGCTCGGCCGCGCGATCTACTTGCGCCTTCCCCCCCCCCCGCCTCCGGTCTTCTTGACTCTGTCTTGACACCGGACACAGGTGGGGAGAGGGGTGGGAGAGAGTGCGGTAGACGCTGCGCAAGTCTACATTCACCATAAACTA